TGTCATTGAGTTGGTTCCAATTCATATGGACTGACTGTATGTAGGGTTTTCAAGGAGCAGTTGCTGGGTCTGAACCGCTGACCTTGCAGTTAGCAGTACAGTGCTTATCCTGCAGCACCCCACCAGGATTACTGAAAGAAGGTAGGTTTAAAAAAAATCTATTTAATTAGAATAGAAATGTAGAGCAAAAAAAGAGCAAACATAGAGCAAGATTTTAATGTATTTTAAATTCATATAATAGAGTCAGATTGCTTTCTAAAAAGTTATAGTAATTTATAAAACCTCTAATATTTTACCAGATTAATTAAAACTCTGTCAGGATTAGGTTTGATGATTCAATCTCCATTTGTACCCAATTTAATGCTACCTCACTGTTTTAGGCAAGTTTGCTTACTATGTGTTTGCTTACTGATTGAAATCATGTATAGCTAAGGGATATGATGGTACCAATTTGTACTAAACAAATTACCAGAGTGAAAATTTTCGTTAAAATTTATAGCTTGTTATATGAAGATAAACTATTTGAACTATAGCATTAGTAATATTACTTCCTTGCTAATTACCTATACACCTTTCTTATAGTATAACTCTCCTGGAAAAAGTTAGAAAAAGAAAATAGTAAAGAGCTTCTCATCTGCCTCTTATAATAAAGAATGATAATAAAGTTAGTCTTATAAAAAGACATAATAAAGTTATATATGTGGTTGTTGTTGTTGTTGTTAAGTGCCGTCGAGTCGGTTCCGACCCATAGAGACCCTGTATAGGGTTTCTGAGGAGCAGTTGGTAAGCTTGAACCACCAACCTTGCAGTTCAAACGGCTTTGCAGTCTGGCGCATTAGCCCACAGCACCACACCAGGTGCTATGGATTAATGCACGGGACTGCAAAGTCAGCTTGAACTGCAAGACTGACAGTTTAAACTCATAAGCAGCTCCTTGGAAACCCTGTACAGAGTCGCTATGGGTTAGAACCTACTCATTGGCTCTCAACAACAACATATATGTACATATTAAAATATCAATGCTTATTACCTCTATAGTAAATAATAAATTATAAAGGAAGTTAATTCCAAATGAGTAAGAAATGTAAATAAATTATGAAGCTAGTATATATATATGTGTGTGTGCTTGCATGTGTATATATAAACGATTATAAGGACATTCAAAAAGTATTTCTAGAGTCTTCTCTGTATATAGGGTAGATAGGGACGGGTACCTTAGTCATTGGCTACCTAAAATAAGGGGGCGATAAAGGCACGAAGTGACTGGCTTACAAGTTTTTAAGAGGAAGTTTAGTTTCAGAGTGTGCAGGGCAAGGTAAAATCCCCACTGAATAGTTTTCATTTTGTATAGACAGGTCTGGTGAGAAGAGATGGGGATAAGAATCTTATGATTCAATAGTAATTGTTTTCATGACTAATTGCGACTGTTACAACTATAAAGGTAAAAGTTTTGTAACAAAACTGGGGAGTAGTTAATCTTACAGTCCAGAAACCGAGGACCCTAGGGGCATCAAGGGAGAAGAACACAAGCAGAATGCGGTACCCTATCCAGAGAAGCAGCGACACCATAGATACAGGCAGAGATGAGGACGTGGAGAGAGGGTGCAGCTGAGGACTCTAGATTCATGGAAAGAGACGGACTGAGTGCTGGTGGTCAGAGGCAAGCTTGCAGAATGTGTCTTTTGGTTGTTTAAATTATTATATATTCCTGAGTGTTTTTGTATATATCTTCCCCCACCCCCCAAAAAACCAAGAGGGAATGGAAGCAAATGCTGTTCAATGATGATGTATGGAGGACATTGTAATCATTGTAATGAAATGATGGTGTAAAGCCTATGTTTTCCCATGTAAACCATCACTGAGTTCACAATTAAAAAAAAAAAAGATTTCCATATGTTATCAAAGACTTCATTTTGCTTGAATCCGAAATCAACACCCATAGAAGTAGCAGTCAAGGAATCAAATGATATATTGTCTCATAAGCACATGAAATTTGGGCAACAAATAAGGGATACTAGAGAAGAATTAATGTATTTGAATTATCGTGTTGGAGAAGAATATTAAAAGTACCATGAAGTGCCAGAAGGACCAACAAATCTGTGTTGGAAGAAGTACAGTCAGAATACTCTGTAGAAGCCGGGGATGGTGAGCTTTTGTCTCTCATCCATAAGACATGTTGTTAGGAGGGAACAGTCCCTGGAGAAGGACATCATACTTGATAAATTGGAGAGTTGGTGATAAATAGGAAAAGACCCCAATGAGATGGATTGACATAGTAGAAGCAGCAGCACTGGACTCAAATGTATCACTAATTATGGGGATGGCACAGGACTAGGCAATGATTCATTCTGTTGTGAATAAGGTTGCTATGAGTTGGAATAGACTTAAAGGCACCTAACAACAGCAAATCCTTCCCTGAAGAATTCTGCGTTCTTCCATTTAAACCATGTTGAGATGGCAGATGCCAACATCTGTGAAGGACACAAATCATGCTCATTTGTTGTTTGAATTTTGTGAACAAAAAGAAGTCTGAAGGATGAATGGGGTAAAGTTTCCCAAAGACATTACCTTAGGACACCTGTAAGAATGAGGAGGTGCACTGTCATGATGAAGAAAAATTCCTTTGTGCAACTTTCCTGGCATTTTTCCCACTGATGCAGTTTCAATTTTCTTAAAACTTCCTCCTAATAATTCCCTGTGATTGTCCTGTGTTCTTAAAACAACAACAACAAAAAAAACCCTATCTAGATTACCCCTTTGGCTTCCCAAAAACCAGTCACCATAACCTTCTGAGCTGACCTCTTACCTTGAATTGACCTTACTCAGCAGCTCCGCCTTAGAAACCTCTATTTTATTGGACATTTTTTTTAAAGGCACCCCTATCATTACTAACACTAGTGTATTACTGAGATAGCATAACTTTAACCATCCACTGATCACAGAAATGCGTCTAAGCACATTTTGCTTGGAATTAACCTGCCTGTGTATGTATGAATTAGAACCCTGGTATAAATGCATTTTAACTTACTTTCATACACACACACACACACACACACACACACAGAGTCCTGTAGTGGTGACATGGGATAAAGCAGTGGACTGCCAGGCTGGTTTGAATCACAAGATAGGAGGTTTAACCTCACCAGTCACTCCTTGGAAACCCTATACAGGGTCACTATGAGTCGGAATCAACTTGACGGCATTTAACAACAACAATACATACAGATCTAGTATATACTAGCGTGCTTCATGGAAAATTCCATTATCTTCTAATTCTACTTTTTCATGAATATTTTGAATTCCCATCATATAGCATCCATATTCCTGAGTATCAATGCATTAGCTGTTAAGAGGTCTGTAAGCTAAGAGGAGTTAGGATGCAAAGTGAAGCCCAGAGTTTTATAGAAAGAGAGTGAAGGGGGAGGGAGTGTTGGGGTTATGATATGATAGGTTATTTTAGATGCGGTGATCCTTGCCTTTTGGGTTGATATTATAGTCTTGTCAATGCTTTGGAAATCAGCAGTTTTAGAATTTGCCTGTTTTATTGATGCCAACATGGTAAATTCTTACAGTAGGTAATTCTTTGTTCTTCAGACACAATGTTATTTATTCTTTGGTTTTCAACAAATTCTAGTTTCAGTACTACAGGCAGTTAATTTAAGATTAGTTTTTGTTCCAAAAATTGAAAGCTATTTGTTTACAACTCAAAGTACATTTAAAATGCAGAAACAAGTGTCATTTGGAAATTAGATTCATGGGTTACACACAAGTACTTGCTTAATTGATAATGATATATCTGACTCTAGTACTAATTCTAGTTTTTAAACTACATAAAATTATTCTTTCCAACATTACTTTCCAGAGGGAAATTACATTTTTTGTCCCAGTGTGAAGGCCAAGAATCTATAGATCTCTCACTACATGGGGCTCTCTCAGCAAAGTCCTCAGAGGATATTTTTTGGGCAGAAATGAGCATCTACTTCCTAATTTATTTGTCAAATAGAAATCAAATGTGTTTCGAAAGAGAAATACATCAGGCCAGTTAGTAGAACCATAACATTAAATGGGAGAATTCAAGGGAAGATGTATAAATCAGCAAGATATAGTAGAAAAGCCAAGGAGTAAACTGCTTAATATCTACATTTCCATGAATACATCAGTGTGAACTCGGAATACAGTTAGAATTTAACTAAATAAGTCAGAAGAAATAACCTGTACTAGTGTGGGTTGTCTTGGTATCAGTGCCCCTTTCTAATGTTAATGATTCTCTAATAAGATGCTTTTAAGTAAAATGTACTGTAAACATGGGTAGAGCAACAGGAGTCTAGGGAAGTATTTAAGGCTTCTCTGGAGTGAGTTTTTGGGGTATTGCAAATACTCAACATGCTTGACTACTAACAAAAAGGTTGGAGTTTCAAGTCCACCCAAAGTCACCTTAGAATTGAAAACCTAATGAAGCACAGTTCTGCATAAATCAGAACTGACTTGAGGGCAACTGGTTTTTTATTATTTATTTCAAGGGTGGTTGGGGTCTCTGTGTTAGTACAGTGGACAGTGGATGAGTTCATGAATCGGAAGGTTTTGATTACTGATGAAGCAATGACCTGAAACCCAGTATTTGAGAGCTCCCCTGAGGTATTGCAGAATCTGTTAATCTCTCAAGTCTTGTTCAAAATAATAAACTAATCTCATATACTTTGTGACAATACTGTGTGGAAGGAGTCCCTTACAGGAGAACAGAAAGGACCAAAGATCCTCAATATATAAGCATAACTCACAGGATAATGAATATGTGCAAAACAGATTGCAACTTTCAAAATGAAAAGAATTTCTTTAATAGTCCCAAATTAAAGGAAACAAAGACAGTTGTCCCATAGTAGTAAAAGATGAGGGAGGGGTGTTCTTCATTCTAAAATCTGTATGGATAACAGTTTGGATATACATTTTTAGACAATATAGTAATAAATGTTGTGCTTAGTTCCAACCTTTCAAAAACTTACCTCTAAAAGCACTAATATCCCCATAGTGAACCTGTAGGACAAAGTATTTGCTTCCAGTATCTCCTCCAACTCTGAATCCAACACCTAAAAATTTACAAAAGAGGGTAAGTTAATATTTTAGAAATAATAATTAAAATCAAGTATTTGAAAATAGAAAGAGATATCTAATCTCATGTTGAACTTAAAAAATTCTAGGGGAAATAAAATATCATGTAGCATATGATATGATGTAAACTAAACATTCACTGAAAATTTCTTATGAGCAATCATTCAATCCTTCTCAAAGCTCTAATGGAATTCTATTCATAGTTTCCATTTCAGAACCAAAATAACCACTTATACTTTCAGAGGCTAATTCACTCATTTTGAAAGAAAGAAAGAAACCAAAACAAAATCTGTCCTTGCTGATGAAACAACCACCACTGCCACTGAGTCAAGTCGGACTCACAGTGGCTCTATAGGGCAGAGGACAACTGCTCCTAAGGGTTTCTGAGACGAAATCTTTAGGGGTGCAAATAGCCTCATCTTTCACTCTTGGAGTGGCTGATGGTTTTCCTCATGGTTAGCAATCCAATGCTTAACCCATTGTGCCACCAGGGTTCCTGATGAGACAAATATACATAGACAAACTATTTCCTGGTTTTGTTTTTATGTATTCACATTCATTTACACCTTCTAATTATTATAGAAACTCCTTAATATTCTTTAGAATTACTTTCCCCCCTCATATAAAAACAAGCTGCTGCAAAAATATCACTAAGGAAACCAATTAGATTACATAGTTCAGTGTGTCAGTAACCTTTGGAATCTTAAGGTTCTTAATTGTGTTATTATTAGAGTTTTCTAGTAAGCTAAGAAAAAATAACTACAGAGAACATAATTGCAATCAGGGAAAAAAAAATTTTTTTCCTACATTTGTTCTAATGGTTCTTAAAAATATTAACAAATCTATGGCCGACCCACATTCTAGTTTGCACACTTACTTAATAGAAAGGAATTCTGAAGAAGCAAGCAAAACAGTCATTAGTTAATGCTGCTGGCATGAGTTAGGGAAGCAATAGAATATAAGGATGACATGACGCCATCCACAAAAGCACTGCTCCCTAAGAGAACTGTGAGGAATAATCCCTATAATATTATGACACATTTGGGTAATAAAAGAATGCCTGGTAATTCACTCAAACATTGGAAGCTAAGACCAGTTTAGAGGTGAAGTCAGAAAGCCAAGAGAGGTTTGGCATCACATTCATATCTATGTTCCAGGACTATTAAAAAAAAAGTGTTTTATGAAACAGAAATTTATTTAATTCCCAGCTCTCTTGGCTCGTAAATGTTCCAGTTGTCAAGAACCAATGTGCCTTAAGTCAAAAGTGGCTCAAGGTATTCTTGGTTATTTTCTAATACTACCTAAAATGTTTAATGGGCAAACTACTTAACAAGAGAAGCAAAGTAACCTTTTTTATACAAAGCAGGTGATTCTGGTACTTTAAGTGTGAAACTGTAATAAAAGACATTGTTAACTGTTCTGAAGGACTATAATAAAAAAGAACTTTGGAATCAGAAATTACTTGCTTAAAAGAAGATTATACAAAAGTAATTTGATGTACCTTTAGGGAGTCTGGTTGGGGGCGCATTTCTTGCCCAGGCATATAGAATATTGGCTTTATCTGTACAGGTTCCTTCATCACAAAACCTGGAAAAAAAAAAGTAATAAATGGAAATTCAGGTAGTAAAATGTGTAATTCATTCCACATTGGGGTAGGGGATATATCTGAAAGCAAACCAGATTATTGTACATCAATGTAACCCCATTATTTTTGTTTTTGTTTTTGTTAAGTGCCGTTGAGTCGGTTCCGACCCATAGCAACCCTGTACAGGGTTTCCGAGGGTATAAATCTTCACAGGAGTAGAAAGCCTCATCTTTCTCTCGCGGAGCAGCTGGTAGTTTCGAACCACTGACCTTAAGGTTCGCAGCCCGATTATAGTGAATCTAAATAATAATTTGTCTGTGAAAAGCACATGTAAAGAGAGGCTTTCTGTTATTTTATGTTTTGATGACTGGTAGTGAAATAGTCTCGTGAGGTAGATACACAGCTTATACTTTGTTATGTTCATAGTCAGGTAGAAAGAAAAACATTGCGTAGAGAATCTGAATAATCCAGGAAGAATGCAGTGGAACTTTGGGAGTAGACTGAGGGAAGAGATGTACACATTTCCCCTTTTGGGAATCAGTGTTACATTCAGTGAATGTTTAGCCACATTGCTGATGCTCTTAGTGGAGTGAACAATACAAGAATGTCACATTTAAGCAAATCTTGATATTATACATGGTCTTTCTGAAGTTTATGAACACTGAATGTGCCATTTATAAGTTATTTCTTGTTATACAACTACTCTTATTGAACTTCAGTTTTCTTTCGTGTAAAACAGGAACAATTATAGCTGCTTCAAGAGTTATTATATAGATCAAATGAGATATAATGAAAACACTTTATAACCCTTAAAGTACTACACCACAGTCATATATTATTTAACAGAAAACCCATTTTATTCATTGTTCAGAGACAATGTAATATATTGTGAAGAACACAAATAGAAAGAACTATGTGGAGTTGAACCCCAGAACCACCTCTTAGCAACTGTCCTCCTTGGATACGTTTAGAAGCTCTCAAAAGTCCAGCCCACATATGGAAAAGCTTCCTGATAGAAGACTGTTGTGCTATGATATGTGTAAGGTGCCCAGTTCAGTAACTGGCACACATGGTAGATCCAACTTTGTCTGACTTTAAGCTATACATCTTTTCTATTGTAATCTGCTGCCTAAGTTTTTACTATTATAGAACTGGATTTCTTGAAAAATACAATTGTTGTTGTTGTTGGGCTAGTACCAACTCATAGTGACCGCATGCACAACAGAATAAACATTGCCCGGTCTTGGGCCAACCTCACAATTGTTGCCATGCTTGAGCTCATTGATGCTGCCATATTGCCAATCCATTTCACTAGGGGTCTTCCTCTTTTTCTCTGACCCTTCACCTTACCAAAAATGATATACTTCTCCAGCAACTGATCCCTCCTGACAATATGTCCAAAGTATGAGAGACAAAGTTTGGCCATCCTGGCCTCCAAGGAGCACTCTGGCTGCACTTCTTCTAACACAGATATGCTTGTTCTCTTGGCAGCCCATAGCACTCTCAGTATTTTCCTCCAACACCATAACTCAAAAGCATCAATTCTTCTATAGTCTTCTTATTCACTGTTCAGCTTTCTCAAGCATATGAGGTTATTGAAAATACCATGGCTTGGGTCAGGCGCACCTTAGACCTCAAGCTAACATCTTTGCTCTTCGACACTTTAAAAAGGGTCTTGTGCAGCAGATTTTCCTAAAGCAATACATCATTTGATTTTTTTACTGCAACTTCCATGAGTGTTGATAATTGATCCAAGAAGAATGAAGTCCTTGACAACTTCAGTCTTTTCTCCATTGATATGAATGTTGTTTATTAGTCCAGTGGGGAGGATTTTTGTTTTCTTTATATTCAGATGCAATCCATACCAAAAGCTGTGATCTTTGATCTTCATAAGTTAAGTATTTTAAGTCCTCTTCACTTTCAGCAAGCAAGGTTGTATCAACTACAAATCGCAGGTTGTTAATGACTCTTCCTCCAATCCTGATACCATGTTTTTCTTCATATAACCCAGCTTCTCGGATTATTTGCTCAGCATACGTGTTGAATATGTATGGTGAAAGAATATAACCTTGTTGTGCGCACCTTTCTTAATTATAAACCATTCAGTGTTCCCATGTTCTGTTCTAACAACTGCTTCTTGGTCCACATACAGATTCCTCATGAGCACAATTAAGTGTTCTGGAATACTCATACTTCGCAATGTTGTCCATAGCTTGTCATGAGCCACACAATTGAAAGCCTTTGCATAGTCAATAAAGCACAGGTAAGCATCTTTCTGGTATGCTCTGCTTTCAGCCAAGATCCACTGGACATCAGCAATGATATCCCTCGTTCCACATCCTCTTCTGAATCTGGCTTGAACCTCTGTAAGTTGTCTGTCAATGTATGCTTGTAACTGTTTCTGTATTACCTTTAGTAAAACTTTACTCGCAAGGGATATCAAAGATATTGCGCAACGATTTCTGCATTCCATGGGTCACCTCTCTTTGGAATGGGCACAAATACGGATCTTTTCCAATCGGTTGGCCAGATAGTTGTCTTCTGAATTTCTTGACATAGATGAGTGAGTGCCTCCAGTGCTGCCACACTTTGTGGAAAGATTTCAATTTTTATATCATCAATTTCTGGTGCCTTGTCCTTTGCCAATTCTTTCAATGCACCTTGGACTTCTTCCTTTAGTATCATTGGCTCTTGATCATATGCTGTCTTTGAAACGGTTGCATATCAACCATTTCCTTTTGGAACAGTGACTGTGTAGTCCTTCCATCTTCTTTTGATGCTTTCTGCATCATTCAATAATTTGCCCTGAGAATCCTTCAATAATGAAAGTTGAGGCTTGATAATTTTCTCAGTTCCTCCAGCTTGAGAAATGCTGAGCATGTTCTTCCCTTTCAGTTTTTCTGACTCCATGTCTTTGCTCTTTTCATTGTAATATTTGACCTTGTTGTCTCGATCTGACGTATAAAATATTCTGCTCAGCTCTTGTACCTCCTCATTTCTTTTATTTGCTTTAGCACATCCACTCTGGAGAGCAAGTTTCAGTGTCTCTTCTGACATCCATTTTGACCTTTTCCTTTTTTCTTGTCTTCTTAATGACTTTTTGCTTTCTTCCTGTATGATGTTCTTGATGTCATCCCACAACTTTTTAGTCTTTGGTCCTTAATGTTTAATGTATCAAATCTGTTCTTCAGATGATCTCTAAATTCAGGTGGGATATATTCAAGGTCATAGTTTGGCTCTCGTGGACTTGTTTTCATTTTCTTCAGCTTCAGTTTGAATTTGCATATGAGCAATTGATGGTCTGTTCCACAATCGGCCCTTGGCCTTGTTTTCACTGATGATGTGGAGCTTTTTTATGGTCTCTTTCTACAGATTTATTCAATTTGATTTCTTTGTATTCCATCTGGTGAGGTCCATGTATATAGTCATCTCTTATGATGTCTAAAGAAGGTATTTGAAATGCACAAATCATTGATTTTGCAGAATTCTATCATGCGATCTCCAGATTCATTTCTATCACCGAGGCCATATTTTCCAACTAGTGATCCTTCCTCTTTGTTCCCAACCTTTGCATCCCAATCACCAGTAATGGTCAATACATCTTGATTGCATGTTTGATTGATTTCAGATTTAAGAAGTTGGTAGAATTCTATTTCATCCTCACTGGCTTTAGTGGTTGGTGCATAAATTTGAGTAATAGTGGCATTAACTGGGCTTCCCTGTAGTCACAAGGATATTATTCTATCACAGACAGCGTTGTACCTCATGACTGATTTGCAGATGTTCTTTTGGACAATGAATGCAACACTATTCCTCTTCAAGTAAACCATGCGGTTGTCAGATTCAAAATGGCCAATACCAGTCCATTTCAGCTCACTAATGCCTAAGATATTGATGTTGATGCATTCCATTTCATTTTTTACAACTTCCAATATTCCCAGATTCATACTTTGTACATTCCATGTTCCGATTTTCAATGGATGTTTAAAGCTGTTTCTCTTCATTTTGAGTTGTGCCCCATCAGCAAATGAAGGTCATGTGGGCTTTTCTCCCACAGGCTTTACTCCATTCGCATCATTACAGTCAACTCTACTTTGAGGAGGCAGCTCTTCCCCAGTTGCATTTTGTGTACCTTCCAACCTGAGGGGCTCATTTTCCGGCACTATATCTGACAGTGTTTCTCTGCTATTCATAAGGTTTTCAATGACTAAATATTCAGAAGTAGTTCATCACTCCTCATTCCTAGTCTGTCTTCTTCTGGAAGCTCAACTGAAACCTGTCCACCATTGGTGACCCTGCTGGTATTTAAAATACCCATAGTATAGCTTCCAGAATCACAGCTGCTTGCAAGCCACCACAGTACGACAAACTGACAGACGAGTGGTAGAAAAATACTACCTCTATGTTAGGCTATGTTTAAGTTGCTTTTATAGATTTGTGGTTTGGGAAACTAGGATCAAGCAAGATCACAGTCAGGAGTTTGGTAGATGTGACAAATCTGACCACTATCCAGGATAAGGAAAAGGACAAAGACAAAATCAAGGAAGACTTCTTGAATAGGCCAATTCACACAGGAATAAAATATATCCTGCCATGGCCTGGAACGGAAGTGAAGTCAGTCTGGTTTTATATGTACCGTTTCCTTCATCAGATTTCAAAATGGGGAAGAAACTTTGGCTAGAAATTTATTGAACACTCAAATTTCAGAAATGAGAATTTATCATTAAAAAGTACCTTGATACTCTGAAACTGGACTCCTAACATATGTCCTATTTAGAATCAGAAATGGGGTTGGAGGATGAGTAGCAAATGCAGATAACAGCATTCCTGTATGAATACAGTCATGAGGGATTGGAAATCAAGGGTCCTGATTAGGTTATGCTTAGAAAATTCTCTTGCTTCTATAAATCAAGCCACAGAAAATGACTGTATAATGTAAAGCACATCAAACAGTGTTTTTTTTATGGTTCACTGTCAAGAACGATATCCTTACAATGAAAGA